CCGTGGCATCCACCCACCCACTCATCCTCCATCAATCATCATGATCTCCCACCCCCCACCCCACCCATCCACCCACACGCACCTCCTGCCATTCACCTGCTTATCTACCCATCATCCATCCTCCAATCCATCTATTATCTCTCCATCCATCATCTTTCCATCATCCATTGGTAACCAGGGGTGTGTGTGTGTGTGTGTGTGTGTGTGTGTGTGTGTGTGCGTGTGTGTGTGCGCGCGCGCCTGTGCAGATGAGTGGTTCCAGAAGCAGGTCTGTGTGTGTGTAGGGGGTAGGGTGGATGTGCAGGTGAATGGTAACCAGCTGGTGTGTGTGTGTGTGTTTATGTGTGCATGCGCGCATGCGCGTACATGTGCACAGGTGAGTGGTAACCGGAAGCAGGTGAACCAGCAGGTGTGTGTGTGCGCGCACGTGCCAATGAGTGGTAAAACCAGCAGCAGGTCCAAGCAGGCCCCAGTCTTGCCCCTCTGGCTCAGTAAACCCTCCACTGACCGCTGACAGGCTGTCCCCGCCGCCTCTCCTCATGGAGAAGATGTGTGTGAGTGTGTGGAGGTGATTTCATCGGTAGCTGGCCAGTGCCCTGACTCTGGACTTGACTCGTGGAGTGTTTTCAGCTTGAGTAATGGGTGACTTGCTAGGGCAGTATCACCCAGACCACTGGGCCATCCTTCAGCTTACAGAACATTTGGGGAGTGTTGGGGGAGGTGATGCTCTGGGGAGCAACCCTTCATGTGAAGTGCAGCTGCTCAAACTGGTGCTGATGCCTCGTGGGTTCCCGTGTCTCCCCAGACCAGTGTCAAGGCTGCCAGCTCCTGAGGCCACTGTTCTCACCACTCCTGTGCCTCACGATGCCAGCGTGGCCCTGGCCTTGGTGGCATTTCTCTGGGGAGCAGCCCTGTTCACCATTGGTGGGTCAACGGGTTCAGTTATATAGGCTTGTTTCTGCATGGGAGGGACATTTGACACACGGTGTCTTTGTCCATGTATGCCCAGGGCAGAGGTGGGGTAGATTCTGCTAACTCTACATTCCAAACCCCAAGCCAGTGCCACCAGCTCTGACTTAGAGTGGCCCATGCGTGTCAGAGTGAGACTGCGCCCCACAGGGTTCTTAGTGGTTGGATTTTGGAAGTGGATCACCACACCTTTCTTCCAAGGCACCTGTGAGTGGGTACACGCTGAACCTTTTGTTCAGCAGCTGAGTGTGCTCACCATTGGCAGCACCTAGGTACCCACCAAGGCCCCTAAGAGGTGCCCATGACTGCTGACTTAAATGTTGGAGGTTCAAATCTCCCAGGCATGGAGACCTGCTTCCCAAACTCGGCCCTGAGACCCCTGTGAAGCGCAGCTCTGCTCTGGTACAGGCTCTGCCCCTTCTCCGCGTCGCTGGGCGGCATTTGTAGAGGGCTTTCTGTCTGAGGCAGCGGAAGAGTCTGGGTTTTGCCTGCCTGATTGTGTTTGTGACGTTGGACATCAAGTGGCCTCTTTCCCACGGAGTCTCTGAGGCCTGGCTCTCTGGGGAAATTAAATGAGCCTACGGTGTGTTCCAGCCATTGTGTGTGACTTCTACAGGCATGTGTCCAGAGTGCTCACAAACCCCACGCCTGTGAGCCCCCCGGGGGGGCCCAGGCAGTGTGGCTGAGGACACAGCTCCCTGGTGGCTGATGTCTGTGCACGTGCATGTTGAGTGGCCTGGAATGTTCTCCTGGGGAGGAAGTGTCTCCTCACCAAGTCTGTGCATTTCTCCTTCAACACATGGAAGGCTCGCTGGTGCAGCTCCCCAGGCCTGTGGTTTTAACTGTAGATGGTTTGGGAACTCTTTTAGTTGCGGTATTCTATGAAAAGTGTGTTGATCGAAGGCTGAGGGGGATGTGACCATCACAGGCTTTGGGCTTGTGGGAACATGATGCCACGTGGACTCTAGAGTGGAGCGGGTGGCACTCTAGGAAGGGTGCTGAGCAGAGCTGGCACGGGCAGGGAGGGCTGCTAGCAGTGCAGCCGCCCCATGGTGGCCTTAGCGGTGGTGTTGGGGGTGGTCTCTGTGTGCTGCCATCCTAGCCACTGTACCATCGTCATCGTTGCTGCCGCCATGGTTGCCTTCCTCACATGGCTGCCGCCACCGTCATCGTCCTCCTCCTCCCTGCCCTAGGGCTCCCTGCTGTGTCGTCAGGGTCAGGGTCACCACCATGGTTGCTCCCATTGTTGCTGTCACTGTCGCTGTGCCTCCTCCCCTGCAGCTGTTCATGTGCTGACTCAGACAGACATGGAGCTGGTGCTCCCTGGCAGAGCGGTCACCACCGAGTCCCATGCCGGCAGCAGAGAGCACCTCAAGAGCTCTCACAGCTGGGGCAGCCGGGCCGCTGGGAGAGCAGGCCCCCCGGGCCTCTGCACCAGGGCTGCATTCGGGGTGTGAGAGCTGGTTCCCAGGGACTCTGATGCAGTGCAGAGCCACGTGAGACCCAGAGTGTAGTCATTGGTCAGCCTCTCTCCATCACACACACAAACACCCCTGCACACAGCCACATGCATGCCTGCATGCACTCACATGTATACTCATGTACTCACCCAGGCAAGCAGAGGCACACACATGAACACTCACAGACACACACATACATATATGCATACCCGCATACACACAGCAGGTGCCCACCATATGCAAACATGTCCTGGAGATGTGACCAGAGGGGGGCGCTTTTAGGTGTTAATAGGGTTCACCTCCCCCCAACTCGCCTGGGCAGCGTGGTGCCTGTGGGCACTGCTCGGTCTCCTCTGGACGTGAGCGGGAATGACGAGGCTGGTGGGGTGGGGTGGGGGGGGGTGTCCATCACTGTGCGGGCATGCTCACAAAGCATCTCAAGTGCCATGCTGTTTCGGGGACCTTAGGAGCTCACTTCACACTTTGTGAAAAAAGGGGATTGGCTGTATGAATTGTGTATCTTTGGTCTGTTCATGTGCTGCTGTGGGGGTGGGAGTGAGCTGGCTTTGTCCCCTCACTGTCGAGACTGACTGATGGAGCAGCAGGTCTGGGAAGGATGAGGGCAGGGGCCTGTGGAGAGAGGATTCATGGTTAGCCTGCTCCACCTTCTGCAGCTGAGCTGAGGCCTACTTCCTGTCTGCATGCTGGGGGAGGTGCCAGGGGACGAGAGGGTGTGGACAGGTCGCCCAGAGCCCTGGGACCAGTCCCAGCCCGTTGCCTCGCTCAGGCCGCGCCGGAGGCTGAGGCACAGGTGCATCAAGTGTGAAGCTCAGGGATTTATGAGCAGGACTGGGGGAGGAGTGTTCCGTGAGTGTCGGGCCTGTGGGACCTGCTCCGCTGGCTGGCACCCGCTACCAAGCATCCTGGTACGCCCGCCTGAGCCTGGGTCTGTGTCACCAAGCTGTGGACACACTCTTTGCCTCCCAGAACCATCCTGGCATGTTTGTGAAGTTCCTATGCCAGCTTTAATTCTGTGTGCACAGTGTGTTCTGTGCGAGGTTCCATGCCCCGGGGACGGAGTGGGGGTGGGGAGGCTCGCCCTGGAGCACCTCCTATTCTGGGGGCCGAGATCCCAGCCAGACCCCCAGCCACCAGGCAGACCAGGCGTGGGGCTGAGTGGTCAGTGCATATTTTCAGTGTCTCCAAACCACCTTCTGTGGCCTCAGAAACTTCCCCACAGTCCAGTCGGTTCTCCCTCACAGTTAACCTGTGTGCTGACAGTGAAAAATGCCACCTACAGAAGTCACCAGGCCTTTCTTTTTTTAATTTTTAAAAAGTTTTAGTGTGAATTAGGCGAAGCTTCATAGAGCAGGTCATATGTACATGTTGTTTGTTTTTTAATTTTTAAAATTAAAAAAAAATTATTGTGGGCTTGTACAACTCATCACAATCCATACTTACATCCATTGTGTCAAGCACATTTGTACATTTGTTGCCCTCATCATTCTCAAAACATTTACTTTCTACTTGAGCCCTTGGTATCAGCTCCTCATTTTCCCCCTCCCTCCCCATTTCCCCCTCCCTCATGAACCCTTGATAATTTATAAATTATTATT